CAAAGACGGTGGCCTCCGATGTGCCTGTAGGAGCAAAGGGGTTTGGCCGTTGCAGAGACACCCTGCTCTGTTAAATGCTCACTGAGTGAGTCCCCCATCAGGAGAGTAAGGCTGTGACAGCGGCAACCATATCGCTGCTGCCATGGGGCTTCTGTCCCCATCACCACATCCCCAGGGCGGCTGCGATGCATAGTGCTTGGGGCAGCTTGGTTTTGCTAGGGCTACCTCTGGGGAAAATCTCCGCTGCAAACATGAGTTGTACAAATCTTATGTTCATTAAATTAGGTTTGTGTCCTAGCCTGGCACCTTAGGCCAGGCCTGGCATTGCTCTTTCCAGCTGGGACCCCCATGGTGTCTGTGGGACCCCATACCCCAGGAGATGGGGAGAGGGGCCAGCGCCAAAACATGAGGCTGGAGGCACAAATGGGTTTTGCGGCTGGATGCCAGGTGACGGATGGACTGCGGCCACCCCTGCACCCTCAGCACTGCCCCCCTCCCACCAGAGCTGGCTGCTAAAACGACAAACCCGGCAGCACCCATAGCATGCTTTGTGGCACCGAGGCAATGAGCAGGACCATGCAGGGCAGGCTGAATGATGGGCTCGATTTCTGCAGCTATCTGCAGCGAGGGAGCAGGGTGAGGTGCAGAAGTGGGACAGACAGATGAAGCAAGAGACGGCGAGGACGTGGCAGCAGCTTCATTTCCAGGGACTTTTGCAAAGAAGTTTGCAGCGTGCCGGGCAGGAGCCACTCAGAGCTCCTGAGAGCTCAGGTTTGCTTTGGTCGCTGCCTTTTTACAACCCTTTTTTTGGAAACCTCCCCAGCCGGCTGGACAGACACAGAGACACACACATGCAGGCAAAGCAACCCTTGGATACTTATCCAGCAACGAAAGCATCACAAGAAGGAGAGAAAAGCAGCGTTTCCCCCCGCCGGGGCTGCACTTACCACGGCACGGCGAGGCGAGGTGAGCGGCTGCCGTCCCGCTGAGCCGAGCGGCCGCTGTCTGAGCTGGAGTCCCCTCCAATCACCGTTTTTATGGCCGGTTTCGTGCTGATGTCAGAGGCGAGCCCCAGCGAGGACCAAGCCGGGGTATCTCCCCTCCCCGCCGTACCCTCTCATCAAATCAGCACAGGGATTTTCGTGACTCATAAGGGACCATCATTTTATCTTCTGTTGGCTGAGGCAGATAGCTTGGGAGCACCGTTAATCCTTGTCCTTGACCCAGTGAAGTTTTCTGCGCCATCACCACGCTCACAGGGAGCCCCTCACCCAAAACCCACTTTGGAGGGTCAGTGAGGGATGCCACCCCAAATGCTCTGCCTGCACATCGGGGTCTCACTGCTGCAAACTGGCTTCTCTGCAGGGATTACGCTAGATGCCACCATCCTTTGCCTTCAAATCCCCCCAAAAAAGTTGCTTTGGGGGTATCAGAAAATGAAATTCAGAGCAGAGGGGAAGGCAACTTGCTGGGGTGTGCAGGCTGGGAGGAGTGGGCTCGTCCCTGCAGCGTGGGATCTTCAAACCTCCCATTTTAAAATGGGTTAGACTACCCCCAGATGAAGGTTTCTGATGATGCTTGTTCTGCCAGATGCAACACTGGAGGAGCCAGCTCAGGTCCCCAGCATGGGGGGCAGTCAGGGTCCAAACACACATCTACCCCTAGACAAAGCTGGGACTTTGAGAGACATCCCGAAACAAGGACATCTCTGTGTTAGCCAGAAGACACTGTCACTGGTGGGGTGTGGGCAGGGGGAAGGAGTCTGCCTGCCACCTCCACATTGCATTGCCCCCCAACAGATCATCTCCTGCTGCCATCAGCTCTGATGCCTCAGTGCAGAGAGTGCTGAGGGATGGTCACAGGAGCAGTGTGAGTCAGAGGGTGACAGCTACAGAGGGGCATCAAAGGCAGAGAAAGGGGTGAAGAGAGGAGAAAAATAAAACCATCACCCAAGGAAAACCAGACCCGGGGCTCAGCACAGTGCTCTGCACTCCAAGATTGTCGCTATTATTTAATACAGATTTAAAGCAACCCCTCGATGTTGTGAGCTTGTGTTGCCAAATTTGTGCTGCCAAACTTGATCCTGGGTTTCCATGCAGGTCAGAGCAGCACATTTCAGGGGCAGTCCCTCCTTACCCCCCAGGATGCACATCCCCTTTGCCCGCCTGGCCTCGCTGCTGGGTACCACTGACCCACGCTCACTCCACCAGCAGTTCCACGACCAGCACCTGACACATTGTATTGGTATCCCATTCATCACCATCT